ATGAATGGCATTTCAGATGCATGCAAGGATATATGAACCACAACAAAGGCGATGCCCGGAACAGTCAGGACTGGACTGGACGCGCCCCTGGGCGCCTACCGGGCGGCTCATTATGCGCAAACACGTCACCGAGTGTAAGCTCGTGCCGGTAGATGGCGCCAGTACACGAACTGCCCAATGATAAGTCACGAGGAGTCTTGACATCATCCTGGCCGGCTTTAACAGCAAGTGCGGCAGCTGAAGAAATATCAAACAGCAAACAGCAACAGAAGAAACATCGGCAGCCGCCTTGAAGCAGCAGCGCCCTGTTGTTCCACCAGCAGCTCCTGCCGCCTGACGATGATGCGTGACGTAAACCACAATGCCAGAGCCCTGGGACCAAAGCCCAGCATCCCAGATCTCCGGGACTGTCGGACGGACTGACTCACAAATTTGCAGAGCGTCGCATATTTCAGTTGTCATTTTTGCTGTTTTGCCGGTTTTGCGTGCGCCAGAAAAGAAGATGCCGTGTGTGTGCGGAAGCTCCTGGCCCCGCCAGCCCCCCTCTTCCACTCGTTATGGTTTGCATCCTGCCTCTCCTGTCCAGGGTAGCGGCATTTCCGCTGGCAACGCAGCTGCGGCGGCAACTGCCACAAACAATTTTGACATTTGCGCTGCTCAGCTGCGGGGCCAGTCGGAGTGCTGCTCTCTGGACAGGATGTGCAAGGATATTGTGAAATCAACGTAATGGCGGAGCATTAACATGCAAGCTGCGAAAAAGGCGACAGGTAGCAATGTCCGGGCATGTTGGCCACAAAACAAGAATGCACAATGCATGAAACAACAAATCGCACTTTGAATACACTACAGAGTGCTTTATCAATAAATAATGTCAGGTATGTAAGAAATGGGTTTGCTAATCCAGCCAAGGATTCCCAGCTATTGGATGGGCATAGATCAATGAGTTCAGTCTTAGTAGACATAGATATTACAACAATTGATTGTTTTTATTGAATTGAACAAAATGCAAATTATTGATCAAATGATATTAGGGTAACTATTTTGGATTAATTATTATATTTGCTATTTCCCTACACTTTTCATTAACAGTTTTGATTTATTTATTTTTTTTTTTTGCTTTATATATCTGCTGATTTATATTTTTTTGTTTTTTTATTTTTATTATTTTTGTAATAATTATTATTTATTTTTATTTTATTTTATTGTAATAAAAAGTGTATATATAAAATAAAAAATATTTTATTTATATATTTTTTAGGTAATATTTGCCTTTGTATCAAGGAAAAGACTTGTTTTTATTGCAATAAATTAAAACAAATTTACAGAATTTGTTTTTGAGTCGGTTCAAAGTTCGGTGCATAGTTAATAAATGCAGGTTTGACCCGTTTGGATTTAAAGGCTTTTCTTTTGAGTAAAAATATCATTCAGTAGTTTAAAAATATTAGCCCTATTTAGACAGTCATCATTGTTTTCAATATTCAATATATATTCTCTTCTCCCCCGACACGCAACAAGTCTCAGATGAAAGTTAAAATGCCTGCACAGGTCAGGGGTATTATGAAAGAGAGTGTATAGCCCCAGTTCTCGTATTATCTTTGGCATGCTGCTCTTTTTCATTATGAAATTATAAATATTTTATTTAATACAGAAGCGAGGACAGCAGCATCTGAAGCGGGCAGGCGTGGTGCGAGGGGCGAGCAAAGCGAGCCTGTAGGGCCAAGTAGACTGTATTAAATTCCACAGCCAATTGCAGGCGACTTTGTTTTGCTGCCAGCTACATTTCAATTTTAAATGAAACATAAAATTCCACTTGCACGCAATGGTAAAACGAGAAGCAAGGCCAAAAATACAAAATAAAAGGAAAAACACGACAAATAAAAAAAAAATTCTTTAAAAATATATGTAATATGTGTGAGTGTGCGAGCATTTCAATTGAAATTTACAAACCGCTCGAATGACCTTAAGCTACTTTAACATAAGCTGATGGGCGGGGGGCTAGGGCGTGGCTGGCGGCGCACAATAAAAGCAATGTAATGCAAAAAAAAAGGAAGAGAACAAAAATGTGAAAATTTCATAAACCAAAACTCAAACAACGTCCAAAGTTAAGTAAAAATGTAGGTAACCAATGGCTAGGGGCTCTGTGCGCGGAATAAAACTGAACCGCCCAGTAAAAGTTACGGCCATTTTACACACACACACACACACACACACACACACACACACACACACACACACACACACACACACACACACACACACACACACACACACACACACACACACACACACACACACACACACACACACCACACACAGCCACACACTGTGTGTCGGCTCGCCAGGCTGTTTTTTGTTGTTGTGTGGCTTATTTGATTTTTGCTTGAGTTATTACACAACTGGCAACTGCATAAACAAGGCAACCGCAACGCCTTTGGCATATAAATTCAATTAAAAAAAAATGATATTCCTCTCGCTCTACCCAAAACCGGGGGCTCTTGTTGATTTTCCAATACAATTATAACCCGTTCACAGAAATTTTCTTTAGATTTCGCGCGTTAAGCACACGAGTCACAAGTATCGAGGAGAAATAATGAAGAGAGGGTATATTATTATTACTTAAATTTTATGAAATTTAATTTGCGCTAACTTTTATATATATTGAATTAAATTCCTTGAAAAGAAAGATAAATTCAACCAAAAGTCTGATTTTTAAAATATTTTTTCAAATGTATGTTATTGAAATCGAATCAACAGGTTCTTATGCCGAGAAACTTTTAGCTATACTTTTATAAAGAGTATTATAATTATATCACGAAAAAGCAGATGTGACGTGTTTTAAATTTTTCACATGATCCTTGCTCTTATATAAAAGATAAGATACAAATTCTATACGTAAGCTTAAAGCATCACACCACGGGACTTAAATGTGTGAGTGTGTGTTTTGTAATTGAAAAACAGAAATGCTGGCAAATATTTGTCAAAAACGGATAGATAAAAAAATATTCTGGTTTTTCAATTTTAAAGTTTTATAACAAATATGCTAAAGTAAAATTCTCAATGATACTTTGGTTTTTTCACGACAACAGCACTCGACGAGTTCGGTAACATCCTGGCGCAGGTTGCCACAGATCAAGTTTGTGGACCATTTTAAATGGCGACAGCCCCAAAGAGAAAGGGTGACCCAAGTAAGTATCTGAATCAAAATAATAATGCTAATCTGACTCTATTGAATTGCATGTGTGCTATCACCATCTCTGCCCCCAGTTGCTGCAAGTTCATCGCAAGATCTAGTCACCGATCAAAATTCGGGTCGACGGACCGAACAGAAAGTCTATACGTTCAACAGCGAGAAGCCCAATCAGGCCAAGCCCACTTCACCTGCGACCAAGGACGAAAAGGCCAAGCCCCAAAAAACCATACTGGAAGAGCATGGCATCATATTGGGCAAGGTAATTGGCACGGGCAACTATGCGAAGGTCAAGATTGGCTTCTCCGAGGAGTATGGCAAGCGGGTGGCCGTTAAAATAATATCCAAGGTCAAGGCGCCATCCGAATACACACAAAAGTTTCTACCCCGCGAAATTGAGGCTGTGAAGGGACTGCATCATGAAAATCTGATAACGTTCTATCAAAGCATTGAGACGAGTCACAGGTAATAGACTGACCTATAGCTGACCATCTTGTTCTTCTCCTTGTCATCGCCAATCTACCCAACCACAGAGTCTATTTGATAATGCAGCTCGCGGAGAACGGCACATTGCTCGACTATGTGCGCGAGAAGAAATTTCTGGATGAGCCGCAATCGCGGACACTCTTTAAACAATTGATCAGCGCCGTTGAGTATATACACAGCAAGGGCGTCGTACATCGTGATATCAAATGTGAGAACCTTTTGCTGGATGAGAACTGGAATTTGAAGTTAATCGACTTTGGTTTTGCGCGCAAGGATACGCGCACCAACGAAAATCAGGTGGTGCTATCAAAGACCTTCTGTGGGAGCTACGCATACGCCAGTCCAGAAATATTGAAGGGTATCCGATCAAATACCAAATCTTATTGTTAACCTTTTGTAAAATTATCTCCCTAACCCCTCCCCCACTCAGGCATTGCCTATGATCCATTCATGTCTGATGTTTGGGCCTGCGGCGTTGTCTGCTATGCGATGGTCTTTGGTCGCCTTCCTTACGATGGCTCCAATGTGCACATACTGCTGAAGCGCATCAATCAATCGCTGGTATTCCCAAAAAATCCATCAGCCACCACTGAGTGCAAGCACATGATTATGCATATATTGGCGCCGGTTAAAATCAGATATAATGTGCCGCAAATTAAGGAAGATTCTTGGTTCACGCAAAGATAAATACATTCATATATATGCCACAGTCCAGTTCTCGCTGTTGTCGTAGCAAAAAAACAAATTTTAGGTTAATAAAACTGCTTAATTATTAGGCCGCAAGCTGTGAAGTTCTCTCTGCATAGATATACAAGATTTGTTCTAAATCAAAGATGCTGCCTAGTATTTCAAATGCTCTTTAAAAGCCAAATTAGCTAATAATTTTATTCAAATTTTCGCTGTTTATAACGCATTTTAAGCATTTCAATAAAAATTCCACCTCACAAACGTTTTTTGATTTCAAGTACAAATTCACCAAACATTTTGGCAGCCCGTGCGCATGCGTTGTGCACAGGTTGGCAGCACCGATAAATATCGTGTTGCCACCACAATTTATCGGCTGCAAATCGAGCAATTATCGATGGAACCGCGCATTGCGGAAATCACTCAAAATAATAATATCAATACCAAATAAATAAGAAAATATATAACTTGTAATATTTTAAAATTATTTTTCTAGTCGTGTTTGTATACCCTGCAAATAGGGTATGTCCAGGGCAGTCATGGCAACAATCGGTTGCTCTGGCAACGACGACTGGCAGCCAAAACATAAAAATGTCTTACGCGACTCGCTTTTGAAAGTCTAGCTGTGTAAATACTGTTTAAATAAACATATTTGAGTGCAGTAAATAGTTGTTAAATAAAATATATAAAACAATTGATGGCGGAGGTGCACATAATTGGACAAATACTGAAAGCTGTTGATTTCGACGAGCCACATTTGTACTGCAAGTGGAGTCTGCAGAGCGGTAAATAGCAAGCGAAAAACTATTTCTATTTTGTCAAATATATGTGTGTATACACTTTCTAATTGGCCACGCCCACTGCGCACAGGCAACGCTTGGCGTTTGGTTCAGGGCGAGCTGCAGGGACAGACGCACGTTTCCAGCCATCGCCTACAAAACAGCTCCGATTTCGCTCAACCCCTGGACATACATTTGTGCACCGCTGCGATTCAGGGTTGGCCGCGTCTCCTTGTCGAGGTCTACGCCGTGAACGTGCTCCAGCAGTGCTGGCCCGTCGGCTACGGATTTGCGCATATGCCATCAACACCCGGTGCTCATCGCCTGGAGATAAACACCTGGAAGATTGCCCCAAACAGCTGGTGGCAGAGCATCAAGGAACGTTTTGGTGGCGGCGGCGCAGCGCTGCATAAAACCGATTTACTGTACTCGGGAGTGGAGCGGTACGTTTAAATGACACTTGCTTAAAATATCACAAAAGCTTTCGATTAGGCGCAAAGGACAGGGAACATGAGATTTTGTAAACCAGATTTTGACAAATCAAGCTTTATCTTGAGACAACTATGACAAAATTTAAATGAACTTGAAGTTTAAAGTTCAACTAGGCACAATTTATATTCCTCACGCTATAAAGAAATACCTAAAAACGTTGAAAGCACATAAGATTTCCAATTGAGCTTTAAAGCTTAAATGCTGTTGGCTTAAACCAAAGTTTATAGTTCAACTAAGCACAATTAAGCTATTGTCAATAAGGAAGAGTTAAAAAGAACTTTTAAATCCTTATATAGGAGTCATTGAGTAATTATTATTAATTGAGTAGTAATTACTCAATGTATAGGAGTAAAGAATTTTGAAAGCATCTAAGTGCTTTGATTTTTGCGCTAACATGCAGTTCATTTAACTTACAGCTTAAATACAACTAAGCACAGTTTTTTACAACTCGCACCTTAAATGCAATTTTAACAAGAAATGAGTGTTGAAGAGTATCTGTCATCTATATTTAGGAACTTATAGTAACATTTTTTTACTTAAGTAAAAAGCTTTATTGGTTATAGTATACTCCGTTCGTTTAATCGTAAGTCTCGTCTGAAGATTAATCTCGTTTTTTACGTGCAGCTAGTGTCATTTTAAATCGAACTATTTATATTTAATAACCGCCTAATCTTTTACAGCTACAAACTGCTAACACGCAGCTCTGGCAAAATAATTGTCGAGCTGAGCTTGATATTTCGCAAATTTGAGGAATACGGCGTGGAATTTAAATAATTAACAACCATGTTATGCTTAGGGCCATTACTTAAACTGACTGCATTATGCATCTGCCTGCTCTCGACGCCGATGCAGTGCATCAAGATCGGCGTCTCGCAGAGCTATAACACCAGCACAACAACAACAACATCAACAACGACTACAACAACATCAACAACTACAGAGATTCCAACGACAACTATTGTTGCGGACATGATCACCACTGACATTAGCCCCGTGCCCGAAGCTGTGAGCACTCCCAGTCAGACTTTCCCGCCACGCAAGACACCAAAGCCACGAACAACTGCAGCGCCCAGACGAAGCGGCTCGACGCCTGCTACAACCACTGAAACGCTGCCATTAAATGCCACAACTGCGCCTTTCCGCGCGACTAATCGCTTTGCCTACTGCGCCTGTGATTTGTACAATGATTTTTGCGAAATAAATTGCTGCTGCGATCCCGATTGTCCGCAGGAGACGCTGCAGGTATTCAGCTGCTTGCCAGAGCAGCCGACGCGCCTGGAGGACTTTCAGTACAACCATGGACTGCCCACATGTCAGCTCAGCGATGGCTGGTTGTGCGTCTTTCGCAGCAACACAAATCCAGCCAAAATACAGGTGAATGTCTTCCCTTTACCCTATTGTATCCTGGCAAATGCATTCGTGATTAACTAGGGTGTTTATAGTCTGATGCCATAGCATTTTAAAGGGATTCAATTAAAGTAGATTGTCACATCTCACTAATAGCTGCAATAATCCATCCTTGTCATATCAAAGATAAATCCCATTAACATATAATTTAATCATGTATTTCCTTTTATTCTCCAGACGCCAAGCAACAATTTCGATGCAGCACAGTACAATAAATGGCCGGAACAGCTGAACGGGTATGATACGCAATTGCCGTCCACACAATTTGCGGCGCACTATAAATATGGACAAGCGCTGCAGCTATGGCAGCCCGAGAGTAAAGAGCTGTCCAGCTTGGAGCTGCCCATGGGTTATGAGAGCGCCAGTTGCCAGCTGAAGCAGACATTGTTGTATTTGCAGCCCATGCGGAGCAGCTGCCTTCTAAGCGATGCGTCGCAAATGCAAACCCATCTCTGGACACTGCTCAATGTGACCAGCAGCCACCAGTTGTTGTCGCGGCCACGTGAACCGGAGGAACAGGAAGACGTACCGGGCATTAGCATACAAGTGTGCCAACAGCTGCTGCTGCAATCGCAAGTACTTTGTCTGGCTGGGAATGAGACACAAGTGGACATGCTGGTGGATAGCATAAAGCTGGAAGTGACGCACAACTATACACACATTTTGGATGCCAAGCTGCTGCTCAGGGAAGCCGGCGTGGAGGAGGAGCATCAAGAGCTTTGGCTGAGCTATGCGCTGGTCTACAAGTCTGTCAATAACAACGAGGGCAAGAAGCCCAGCTCTGGGCCACTTGGTTATGTGCTGGGTGCACCAGTACTGTTGGGAATGATGCTTCCAACGGACCAGAGAAACGAAACGGTGCAGTCTCTGCGCTTGCTCAGCTACTTCCAGAGCAATGCCAGCGACCATAATCAGCACTGGCTGACACCTTGCCGCAGGCACAGCTTGGAGCCGCGTCATGCCGTCAGCTTTGGCATCGACCTGGCCAGGCAATGCCAAATGAGTCAACTGGCGCCGGAGCACGACAACCATTCGGACTACTGCCAGCAGTTGCAGTCGCACATTTGGCGACAGTTGCTGCCCCACAATTGCACGCGGCTCGATGATCTGGGCAAGGTTTTTGTCTCGCAGCTGGGCAGACCGCAGCCGGATAAATGGCTGCCAATCCAGCTGGACTCTGCTGATGGTCAGCAGCTGCCACCCATTCAGGGCATTTACGATGAGCAACAGCAGAGTCTCGGCTGCCGCAATATGTTGCTCAGCGTCAGCTACGAGTTCTATACGACAGAATTGACGCTGCTTGAAGGACACGTACCACACCAGAATGTGCTGCAACATGCGAGGCTGGTGCTGGGCCAACGACATGACCTGGAATTCGATGCGCGTGAGCAGCAAGTGGAGCTGCCCTTGGCCGTATCCGTGATGTTCTTCAAGGCGCAGCATAAGAGACTAACCGGATCAAGCCTACGAATTACCGCCAATTTTGGACTGATCTTTGCAACTTTTCTGGTCTCAATGAGTACTGATGCAAGTTTACAGCTTTTCTAGTCACAAAGGGTTCTGAGTTCTATTACAGACTTTGGATACATTTTATAAAAATATGAATGTCTATGAAAATTCAGATTTTAGTTTCAATTCCGAAGAGATGAGTGTATACAAGAGCTCTCGACTAGGCGATGTTCTTTACCCAAGCTTTAATATATGTGGATGTCACGTATATCGCATTGATATGCTAAGATTTATCAAGTAAAGTAGCAGTTGTTAATATAAACTTACCAACATAGGTTCTGATTGTCTGTAAGTAGGTACTTTTTTGTTTTAAAAAGGTTTCCTTTCACACGATCCGCCAGTTCATGACAGTGAAACTAAAAGAAAACGATTTATTTTTTAATGCCAGAAGAGTTGAATCGTTAATTTTATATATCACTAACAAGCTTATAATATTTAAGCTGCAATTGCAATTTTGCATGAGATAGTGAGACTTGATAGCATGAGAATCGTATAGAAAGGCGATGTACAAAAAATAGATAAGTTAAGAGGCGGACAGTGAAAGAGTAAAAGATAATTAAAAAATTTAATTGAAGATTAGAAAGGACCTTTCTCGAGACTAGTATGAGAGATATACGAAATGGTCGGTAAGCAAAATAGGTAATAGTGGAACGTGTTCAGAAGATATAAATGTGAACTCAGAGGAAAAACGTCAACACACAAGGATACAAGAACAAAGCAAAAAAGACAATATTTAAATTCCAATGGTTATTCAATGCGATTATAACGACGCTTAAATGCGATTTATTGAAGCATAAACAAAAATCGCACATCGAACTTTGCAATCTGTATGGAAAGGTCATAAGTTTCGAGGGGCAAATCTTCTAAACAATATCCCTGCGGCACTTGCGCAACTGTTTTCGCAACAGTAAGGCATCCAACTCGGCCTGTTTGCGTCGCTCCTCCTCCTCGATGGCGCGTTGAATTTCCTCAGCCTCGTTGGTGGCCTTTACAGATATCTCATGCACGTCGGGCAGAAAGTCCAAGATGCCCTTTCGTATGAGATATTGATAGTTCATCGATGCGGTATACTTTATATCGTTGCCAATAACACGACTGAGATCCATCCAATGCAAATACATCCAGTTCTCGTTACGCAAATCCTTGACGCTATTGAAGACGGGAACGAATTCATCGATTTTGTCAATAAATACATGGGCCACATCCATAATCTCGGCCTTCTCACTGAAGTTATCCAGCGATTCGACTAGCTCATTGCGCAGATTCATTAGATTGGCCCAAACTTCATCAAGATCGAGCAGCGAAATTGGGTTACCCAGGGTGGCATCCTCCAGTTTCTGAAAGTTGGCGCAGGCATACCATAGCTGTTTATATGGGTCAAAGCTCTTGATGATGCTGGTCAGAAATTCCGTGGAAAGTGGCTCCAATTCGAACAGTTCCTGACGATACTGCAGCGTTCGTCCGACCTTCTCCAGTTCCCTTATCAGCTGCCAAGTTAGTTTTATATCGACAGAAGTTTCCTGGGCACGATTAGGATTGAAGACCAGCGAGAAAGCCTGAACCTCATCGTTGAGCGATTCGAGACGCTCTTCAAAGACCTGGCATTCGCTGTAATGCTGGCGCAGAAACTCTTCGATGTCCAGCTTCTGCTCCTCCTTCAGTGTGGATAACCGCATCATGATCTGATGTGGCCAGGCATATGCATTCCATTTCATGGCAAACTGATGATCGCTCAGATTGTAAAAGAAACTATCCAGCAGATCGTACTCCAGCCACATCACCTGGATATCGGCACGCAGCTGGTCGACCACATCGGGCACTGTCAGTGAAAAATCACGAATCTCGAACAAATGCTCAATGCTGATAGGACGCACGGCAATTTTATTGAATACCTCCTGACAGCGCTCCACTACCTGCTCGTTCGTCTCGTACATGCGATCCACGTAGTACTCAAAGATGCGGCGCACTATGTCTATGTATTTCTTGATCATGAACTGCTTTATGATGTCCACATTAATGTAGAAAGGTCCGATTGTTATGTAGGCGGGCAATATTTGACGAATCTCCTCCTTTTGCCGCTTGTGCTCCAGTATATCCCACTTGACCTGCGATGAGGGCTTATGGGCCGCCGCATATTCCTTCATGAATTCGACTACATTCAGCAGATAAAAGTCGATGAATCTCTCGTAATGCCGCGCATAGGCCTTCAGCGGAAGCACCGCCTGAGCATAGCAACGGCGCATTAATTCGTTCTGCACAAGGAACCTGTCCTCGATCAGTTCGACGGTCAATATATATAGATTATGTGCGAACTTTAAATTGCTCATCACTTCCGCTTCAATGGTGCGCACGCCCGAGGTCTTCTCCAAGCCCCGTTTGTAAATATCCATCAGCGCTGGTTGAAACTCATCCGGATTCGTTGAGTAGAAGACCTTCCGTTCCTCATTAATGCCTATGGTCAGGGCAAAGACGGGCTTTGGAAATGGAAACTCAGTCTCTATAAAATCGCTGGTCCACTTATAATTATGCTTGAGTTGCAGAAATTGCAGACAGGGATCACAGACCAGGTTAGAGAAGTTCATCAGCGACGAGAGCAGCAGCACCTCCATGGACTCTTGCATACGAAACTTGACCTGCCATATGAAACGGGAGATCTTGCACATCTGGTAAACGGTCCAATTGTTCAGCGAGATGTCCAGCCAGCCCTTGCCCAAGGCTCGCAACACCAGGGCAATCACCGTGGTCAGCTGCTCTGGCCAATAGACCTTCAGAAAGGTGGAGACGGAGTCGCTGTGCGCCTCCTGCGACTGCAGGAAGTCCACCAATGCTGTTGGCTTATTGAAATTGCATACGAATATGGTCAGCGTTTCGATGTGCTGGCATTCGACGGCCACGCCCATCATGGCCTCAATGCCACCGGCGCAATAAAAAAGGCTAGCTCGCAGCCAGCCATATCGTTTCTCCTTTATATTAATAGCGAGAGCCTGCAGCTCGCGGCGCTCCTGTTCGGCAAAGTCAACGGGTGCGGCGGCTGGCATGAACTCCTTTAAGGATATGTTGCGGAACTGCGGAAACTCCTTGGGCATGTGTATGATAAACTGCTCCAGCTCATAGAGTGCCATCAGACGCTCAAACACGATGTTAACCTCGGACCTTAGACGCCTCTTGCACTGCTCCGAGACCTTGGACTGCTGCAGCAGCGCCTCAATGGGCTTGAAGCTCTGGAAGGTCGTCGACTCGATGTCATCATGGAGCACACAGTCGACAATTAGCTCCATGAGCATCAGTTGTTCGCCCTTGTGACGCTCATGCACAGCCGACTTGAGACGCTGTATGTACTTATGCGGATCCTCGGCCAGGAACATGAATTGTAACTTGGGAACCTCGTAGGTGCACTCGTCGTCCAATGAGGTCAGCGTCCAGAGATCCGTTTTCTCGTTGTACGCTGTGACCGCTGCCACGGCCCAGCGGCAGCTCCGCAGACTCCGATTATAGGGAAGATAGGCACGTGCCGGAAGAGGATAACGGACACCGCCAACAATGCCGAGCTCAAACCAGGCATCTGGGGAGCTGATGTCGTAGTTGCTGTCATCGAAATAGCTCAGCGGAAATTTGTGCGGGAAGGCAAATTCGGACATCAGGTCGTACTGCTCTTCGGTGGGCTGCAGCATATCATCGGTAAGTCCGGCTTTTTTCAGCTCCTCGATCAAATTGATTCTGCTGTACTGTCTTCGGCGGCGATCCACAGCCACGTCCTTGGGCAGCTCGCCCTTAGGCACGAAACGGGTCTGTATGACCTTGGGCAGAATAGTGGGCAACGGAAAGCGATAGACCTTGCCATTTTTGCCCATCAACGTTAGCCAACGCTGCGCCTCCTGTATGGGATAATGGACGGGCGTCAATTGTTCGCGCGGTATATGCAGCTCCTGGAAAGTCTTGGGCGCTGTGCCTGGACGCGGAGGCATTATACAAATTGTCCGCGATGACTCCTCATACCCTTCTGAGGAGAATGAAACTGTAAATGGCTCGTCGGTAAACGAATTGCTACGCGCCATTTCGATTGTTCGAGATGTTCTTGAACTTCAAATATATTCCAGTTATTTTAGTGTCGATAACATACAAATAAATGACAGCTTTTATATTGTTGGCCATTTTACAATATCTTTTTTTGGTTTATATATCAATTTTGCTTACATTTTAAGCAGCGCGCCACTTACAATTCAGTTTAGTTGGCAGCACAAAGAGTGTTTGCAGTGGGCTGGCAGCCCACTCGGAGAGAGCAATGTGCGCCGTTTTGCAACACAGACATCTGACAACAGTGATGAGCCGTGAAGTGATATTTATTTTAAGCGTTCAAATAGACACGTTGTGGGAAATATAAACAAAAGCCCTTTCGCAATAATACAATTAAAATGGTGTAGATGTAAATAATTTGCATATGTATTAATAATTCATGTAAAATATATTTTTAAATAAATATCGTGACTCTACATCCGTTACGTGCGATAGTTTGTGCCACCTCTAACAAGTCACGTAAATATCGTTCTCCTTTATTGAACTTCAGTTCGTTCGTGTGCAACAAAACGTATTTTTCAATGGAAAAACAAACGAATTAATTACGAAAACTAATGAAAAACGCAAAACAAAAACCATGCTTGATATGTGCATAAAAAGTAAGTGTCAAATCATGTGAAAACTAGGTGAAAAATGTTTGTGAAAATTTTCAACTTTCTGCCCGAGCAATGGTGCTCCGCTGGACGGAGAGAGCGCGAGAGAGCAGAAAAATCAATAAAAATTGTCGTAGCAGCGCGATTGACACGAGCAAAACAAAGAGCGCGCAACGAAAGCGTGTGGAATGGGGAAAACGCGAAAAAAAGAGCAGTCGTTGGTTTCAGTTGCAACTCATGCCCCAAATGCGTTGGCAGCAGGTTGTGAACAGTAGCAAAAAGAGATAAGAGTGCAAAGCAAAAGTAAACGGCAAACAGCTGTTACAGTTATTGTTTGTGCAATAAGTGTAAATATTTGTTTTTATGATTTATTGAAAAGCTGCCAAAGCAGCGGCATTTAGTTCACTTAACCCCATTGAACTGGCAACAACAAGGCGCTTCGCCCACGCTTAAGCATTTATTCACACACACACACACACACACACTCACAGACAGTTCAAACACAGAGGCGAACGTTCGTTCGCACGTTCGTTCACTTCGATGGGCGCGTCGTGTATAAACATTACGCCTTAAAAAACAATGAATTTTGAAAAGCAAAAACAACAAAGACAACAACTACGATAACAATTGTGGAAGACAACTTGCCAAGCTCGATCGGTGAATCACAGCGTTAACGGAGTCGTTAATTAATGCGGCTGCGACTGTTGGCAGCAAAGCAATAGAATGTAGAATGTCAAGTGGACGCTGGATGATGTGATTATTTTTCAGCCGTTTAAGTAATTCAATTTGTTTTGCGCATTTGCAGTTTGAACACCAGCAGCAGCAGCAGCAGCGAAGTCAACAACAACAGCTATGAACGTTATGCGAAAGCTGCGCGGCGCGGCCAGCGCTAGCAGCGGCAGCGCATCGAGCAGCAGCAGCAGCAGCAATGCCAGCCCCAGTACCAGCGCTGCGAATGGACGCACCGGCGAGGAAGCACTGCTAGATGCACGCATACAAATGAGCCTGGCCACACTGAAAAAGCTCTTCAACGAGTACACGCATCCCAAGGAGCCGCTCAGCGAAAACGAACGGGATGGCAAACTCTATGAGATGCTCCCACTATTTTGCAAGGTTTGTGGAATTTACTGAAATATTTCAATATATTTTTTTAAATATGTCAACTAATTACTGTGCTGTTTTTATGGCTTCGCAGGTGTTTAGCAGCAGCCCTGCTAACGATATGAGCGAAAAATTCTGGGACGTGGTTGCCTTCTGTCAGCAGGTGTCCCGCCTGATGGTGAGCGAGATACGTAAACGTGCATCGAATCAAAGCACAGAGGCTGCCTCCATAGCGATTGTCAAGTTTCTCGAGGTGGAAACAACGGAGGATACCAGCAGCGGTTGGCTGCTGTTGGCCACACTGAATCTCTTGGCCAATGGCGATGTCTCGCTCATACAGGTTAGCTTGAAATACATATATTTATACACAACTGAACTCTATGATCTGAAGCTTTATGTTCCAAAAGCAAGCTTTACATGCATGCACATCTCATTTGTTTTTTATGCCCTTGTAGAAGTAACCCGATAAAGTATATATATTCTTAATCAGTATCAACAGCCGAGTCGATATAGTCATAGTCACAGTCATAGCTCCCAAGAAAGAAGCGGTCGAAAAGTTATTTTTTGCATAAACAGATATCTTGACATAATATATATGCTAATCTGCTTCAAATTGGGTGACTATATAGCTCCCAATAGGAACAATCGGACGGAAATTAATTTTTCTTATTAAAGCACTTAGATATATGTCTACAAGGGAATTTAATCTTCGGCGTGTCAAAGATAGCCTTTCTCTTTTTGATATATTTGTCTTCTAGAGATATTCACATGTGTATATATACGAAACTATAGATATTTTTATGAGTGTATAGGAGAGATATTAAAGTGACCTCTATACTTATCATTCGTTAGCTGGCCTTACTTGAATGTCAACCATTTAAGAACTTTATAGCTTTATATATGTATATTAGCACTATAATCGCTGCTGTATTTTTATCTAATATATAATACGCTAGATATAGGGGACTGGGACTGTATACTGTATGTATTCAATATCAAATGCTTTTAATAAAAAATTGTAGATCCTACATGTCAGATATTTCTCAACTTGTTAAAGTCTGAGGAAGACAAAAATATAATTCTTGGATTATTCGTAATGAATCAACAGATCAAAGAGAGTATCATTCGCTCAGGATCCATCCTATTCTTGAGGCATACACGCTTCTAGCATTATTATAATTATGATATAGGGTTTAACTCCCTCTCCAAATACCCCTAATTTTAGGTGATGACAGCTGCATCGGTGCCCTCAACGTTAGTCAAGTGTTTGTATTTGTTCTTTGACCTGCCCCAAGTGGAGGACGATGAGCCGCCGGCTGAAGGTGCCAGTGCCAGTGATTTTAATGCCCATGAGCGTCGCACATTATTGCAAAAGGTTTTTGTGCAGCTGCTCGTGAAACTGTGCTCCTATCCATATCCAGCTGAGGAGCTGGCTCGCATGGATGATCTAACGCTATTGTTTTCCGCCATCACCTCACCCTGCCCCATGCAAAATATTGTGTGGCGCAAGAACGCAGCCGAAATACTGACCACCATCTCGAGGCACGGTTTAACCGATGCCGTTGTTACCTATATACATTGTGAGCATATATTTATATAGATTTTAAAAAAAGCTGAACTTTAAAATATTTAAACTCGATCCCATAATTCTAGCCAAGGGCTGCATGGCGCTGTGCGTGGACAACATGCAACGTTTGACGTTTGGCAATCCGCTGGAAATAGTCGAAATGTTTGTCACCGTCTTTTGCTTCCTCAAGGATTCTAGTCAAGTATCCCAGATACTAATGGACGACTTTCGCGCCTCCCAGGGCTACGTGTTTCTCAGTGACTTTTTGCTCAAGTGAGTGAATTCATAATAATAATAATAATAATATCCTGTAATCTACAAATCTTCATGTTTGACAGATTCGACAATGCGCGCAGTCAAACATTGGAAATCCAGGCAGCTATACGCAACCTGGTATTGATGATCTCATCGCTATGCATGTGCGGCTTTTACGAGCTCCGTCCGCCGGCAGCGCAATTCAATACGGCCTTTAAGCTACAGAATTTCCAGCTGCCGCAGGCCAGCTCACGGGAGACGTGCGTACGGAATGTGTATGCATTCCAGGTGCTGCAAACGGTATTTCTGAGATCGACAACACCTGCACTGTGCTGCACGATCTTAGACGCCATTTCGCGTGTTTATCACTCGGAGAATGCCAATTATTTTATACTCGAATCGGAGCACACACTGAGCAGCTTTGCGGAACGCATACACCAGAAGAGTCCACAAATACAGGAGAAATTCTATGATCTGCTTGAGTTTATAGTCTTTCAGTTGAACTTTGTGCCCTGCAAGGAGCTGATCAGCTTATCGCTGCTGCTCAAGCACAATCAATCGACCTCCTGCAGCATTCTGTGCCTGAAGACGCTGCTCAACATTCTGCGCCACAACAGCGTCTTCAAGGATGTCTATCGCGAGGTGGGCATACTGGAGATCCTTGTCAGCTGCCTAAATCGATATGCAGATCATGTGCGACGAATTACCAACGGTGATGATTCGCTTGTCGTGCAGCCAGGCGCTGAGGAGCAGGAGGATCTGCTGGACACACTAGGCAAACATGTGCTGGAGGCACTCTCAATGCTGCTGGGCGGCGGTGCCAGCAACAATGCGCAACTATTTCGCGAATATGGAGGTGCCAAGTGCGTACACGAGCTGGTCAAGTATAAGCATTGCCGTCCTCAGGCGCTAGGCATCGTTCGGGAGCTGATACTCTCCGCTGGTGGAGATGATGACATGCTCTATATACTTTCATTAATGCACAGCATTAGTCCACATCAGGTGGAATTTAAAATCCAGATACTAAACATGCTGTTGGGCTGCCTCAAGGATTCGCATCGCACACGCACCGTGTTCCGCAAGGTGGGCGGCTTTGTCTATCTGACCAGCGTGTTTGTCTCGCTGGATGGCAGCATGGCTCAGCCACAGCCGGACATTGCCCAACAGGATCTCATTTTGCTGCTGCAGATCGTCTGCCAGACGCTGGCCACTGCCATGCGTTTCGAGCCCGCAAATGCCAAGTTCTTTCATCAGGAGATCTGCAATAGCTCGCTGTGCGACACGTTGCGTCTGCTTGGCTGCTTTGGCAGCGGCACAATACTGCAGGACTTCACGGGCAGCTATGAGCCACAACAAACGCTATTAAAGTACTACCATGACGTATTCAGCGGCGACATACTGAGCTTCAGGTGAGTCTTCTTTAGTTTTCTTTTAGGGCACACTACAATTTAGCTACTATTCCTTGCAGCTTCGACGAGCACATACCCAGCTCCTTGTCCTACATCTGTGTGGTATTTCGACTGCTCTACAGCATCGCCTTGGACAACTTTGAGTCGCCAAATTTGAGCGGAGTGATAACGCTCTTCAGCGAGTCGGCGCCACATACGCGCTCGCCCAGCAAGGAGTTAGCGCCACCAGTGCATCCCAGTCAGTTAAATTTAACACAGCCGGCACCCGAACCGCGCATTGTGCATCCCGGCGTAGTTATATGCATGCTGAAGCTTTTGCCCGGCGTGCAGCACGATGCGGCTCCTATGCAGGCCATACAGCTGCAAGTGTACCTCAGCGAGATCATCAAGTCGCTGGTGCGGAGCGAGCGCAACCAGCAGATTATGTGCGATCATGGGCTGGCCGAGCAGCTGCTAAGGCTGACACGTTGCGCTCTGGCCGAGGAGCTGCATCCGTTGCATGTGCCCATGCAGTATATACTGGAACGTCTGGCGGCGCAGGCGCTGCAACCGACAGAACTGCGTCAATTTCTGCGCCTCGGCGAGCCGCTGTGCTGCGCCGATATCGATCTACAGCAGCCGTATCGACAAGGTGGTCCGGTGCCGTTGACGCGCATCAAGACGCTGGTTTCAATGACAACGCCACGCGATTTTCGTGCCCATGGCTCCAGCACGCTGCCGCCTTTCGTGGAGCTGGACATGTCCGCCGAGGGCTTTGGTTGCCTCTATTTGCCATCGCTGGCACCACAGGCCACAGCCACAGCGGGCGGGACAATTGATGCGAATACGATTGGCGGCATCGGTGCCGGTGATCGCATATTTCCACCGCAAACCGGGCTCAGTTATTCCACATGGTTTTGTGTGGAAAAGTTCTCCGATCCGAAGATAGATCCGCATTGTGTGCGTCTCCTAACGCTGGTGCGCACCATTCACAATCCACGCGAGGAAAATTTGGCATGTTTGTCCATACTGCTCTCGGCTAAAGACAAGGCTATTGTCGTTTCCACACAGGAGACGCTCGTAACGCCCAGAAAAAGTAAGTGCAAGAACAAACATGATGACTGACTCTTCTGATTTCTCATCATTCTTATCACTGACTTCATTCTTATCGAATTAGTAAGAATTCTTTTTTATAATCTGAATCACCTGCATTGAGTTAATACTTTGCTTTGCTTTTGCTATGATATAATTTACTATTTATAGATGTTTATCGATGAACTGCAAAATAAATTGAATTCCAAAAGAAATCACAGGAATTCACAGCTTTAGTTTAAACCCAAGCATATCGTATCTGCTTGTTATGCCCTGTAGATTTGTACAGAGAGGTATGATGGATAAAAGCTTTAGCTATATGGGGTATATGGCAATTATAGTTTTGGTCAGAATCTATCTTCAGAGGTAGATATAACAGTAACGATATTAGCATACATTTTCAGATAGGGCATTTAGACTATTACGACGCTTACAAAAAAAAAACAACTTTTTGATGCTCGGAAAATGGGTGAAAAGCTAATAGGCTATTTGCTTTAGCAACTTTTGACCTGGCCAAGCCGAACATTAATTAGGTCTTCTAAATTTGGGTAAAAATATTTCATAAGTTAAACATAAATGCATACCTGCTCTGAAGCGTATCCTTGGCTTGAGAACCTGCTTTAAATAGGTTTTTCGCTGCTATATTTGATTTTATAATTTCATTTGCATATCCACTTTGCTTTCAGGCATTGGCGACTGGGAACCGGAGGGTTCGGATGATGGCATTGCTCGTATCTGGTGTCCAGATCTGTTGCACGAAGGTCAATGGCACAATCTGGTTGTGGTGCTTAATCGTGCCGTGCTTAAGAATTCGAGTCTCTCGCTCTACCTGGACGGTGTGCCCATGCATACGCAAAAGCTGCACTATATAGCCCAGCATCCAGGCGCGGGCAGCGTCAATCTGACATCGGCTACACAAATCTTTGGCTACATTGGCACACCGCCCATTTGGCGTCGTTATTCGCGCCTGTGCTGGAAACAGGGCGTCTGCCATCTGCTGGAGGATGTGCTCACGCAGCAGACGGTGCAGACCATCTATCAGCTGGGACCACACTATATGGGCTCGCTGCAGGCGCCACAGCTGGGCAAGCAGGCGGAGCCACTGGCTCCGCTGGTGCCGGAAGACCGTGTGCTGCTCGGCCTGAACGCGAAGGCGGTGTCCAAGCTGACGCTCGTCAAGATACGCAAAGTGTACAGTCGGGCGGATAACAAGAGCATTGCCAAGCAGCTAAATATGAATTCCCATGAGAATGCCACGCCCATCAAGTGAGTAATCCCATGACGAATGCACTCTATACTGTTCATAATTTCTTGTCTGTTTCTTTTATAGAATCCTCCACAATTCGGCGGGTCATTTGGCTGGGGCGGGTCGCTCGCTGGGCGGCGTTGTTGTTGGCTATTTGGGCGTGCGCGTCTTTAGTCCGCATCCAGTTTCGGCCATGATTGACACCGTCGGCGGCTGCAATGTGCTGCTGGGCATCATTGCCATGGCCCAGGATGTGGAGTCGCTGTACGCGGGCGTCAAGGCGCTGACCTGTGTGGTGCGCAGCAATCGTGCTGCACAGGCGGAAATGGATCGGAAGCGTTGCTATCAGACGCTGGGCATGTTCTTTAAAAAGAAGAAACACTTGTTGAACTCGCACATTCTGCACCTGACCTTTGGCCTGGTGGGCACTGTGAACAGCGGGCACGACATGTCGGCCATACCGAATGTGACCGCGTTTCAGGATCTGCTGTGCGATCTGGAGATTTGGCATAATGCACCAAATGGACTGTTGCGTTCGCTGCTGGAGCACTTGCTGGAGCTGGTGGTGGAGTCCAATGAGAAGAAGCAGAATGTGAAGATTATGCGTGACCTGCAGCTGCTGGTCAAATTGCTGCACATCATCACAAGCATTCAGGACCATTCGACGCGTGAGATTCTTTTCAATCTGCTCGAAACGCTGCTGGGCGGTCAGCCCAGGCACACGGATCTGCTGCTCTTTGGCCAGTATGTGGCCGCCAAATTGCCGCGTCTACAGGACTCGCATGTAGAGCGTGCTGTGCTGTTTCCCAGCATGAAGCCGCCTGCTGAGGATCAGGATGGTGTCGCTCAGAACATTTATTTGCGCAATCGCTGTCTCTCGCTATTGCACGGCCTGCTCTTTACGCCGCGCAACACCGTCAACTATGTCATCTGCGATGACATTTCCAAGACGCTCGGCATGGACTGGCTGCTGCTCTTCATGCAGCCACATGTTCACTTCACCACGGTCATTATAACGGTGCGCATCCTGGTCGTGGTCTGCGCAAATGAGAGTTTTCTAGTTCGTTTCCGGGATGCCACACACAATGGCGGCTATTTGCGTTTCACCGAAATGGTTTCACAGCGCAAAATGCTCGGCCTGGGCGCCCAGCAGCTCAATCAACGTCCCAGCAATGGCACCGGCACTGTCATCGTGGCCACGCCCCAAAATACTATACAGCATTTGCCCACACAGATTGCGGGCGAGGTGCGCACGGCGGCTTTAAATATACCTGGTGAGTTGAGAAATTAAACATTTTTTAGATTAAGATTAACATTAAATACAACTATAATATTAATTTATAAAAAAAATTTGTTTATAATTCTATTCTCCAATTTATAATTCTAAGACCCACAAATTCTTATTTATTAATTAAGTTTAATATTTTGTTGAGATAAGATTAAGATAAATATAGATTTTCGAAAGGAGCGCGTATTGAAAACTGCAAAGTTGATACATAGTCCCACTTTTTTTAACCTTTAATTCATCCAGCCGATCCTTGCAGTTATATAAGAGTTCTGCTCAGTAGGAAGATTCTTTACTGCTTATTAATTCATTATTTTCTTTATTTATTTAGGTTTCCAGTTGCTTGAGTGGCTGATGCAACATCATTTGGACGTGCCGGAGCTGTATTTCCTGGTGACCGCATTGATAATGGGCCAGCCAGTCAAGGTGCTGGCCACCGAGCATACGAAATTCGATTTGGATCGCGTCTGGTCATTCCTCTGGGGTGCCCCGGTCTCGGCCAATACGCAGCTGCCCAAGCTGAACGTCTGCCCCGAGGGCGTCTGTGTGCTGCTGGCCATGGTGCGTGCCATTGTGCATGGCGGCGAGTGCGCCGCCTGGCTGCATAGTCATCCGGAGACGATCATCCAGCTGCTGTTTAGCCTCTATCAGAATCTCAGCGATTTTACGCCAGTCATGATGGCCGGGGATGTGGTCACCTCGCTGGTTGCGGTGCTCTTTCCGCAGGTTTCACGTTCTGGCGACTCGGAGCCAAATAGTGGCACCTCCACGCCCACCGACGGCACCGGCAGCAGCAGCTTTGTGCTGCCAGCGCCAGAAACTCTCCACGCGGCTGTGGACAATCAGCCAAAGCTAACAGCGCATCCGGTGCGCAAGTGCGTCATAGACTTTTTACGCGTAATCGTTGTGGATTCCTTGGGATTGAACATGCATGGCAAGAGCACACCTGTCATTGATCTTGTGCTGGATGCTGCACCGGAAACAGCGGAACTGCCACTGCAGGTGCAATACCAGACGCAGATCATCATTGCCCTGATGGATCATCTACTGGCCGCCGATGTGCTGGTGGGTGAGCAGGCGGCGTTGCCTTTGGTTCCACTGCTCCAGAGCCACACACAGCACATTGCGCCTAATGTGTTCTACCTGACGGCGCGCATAGTGGACAAGTTGTGGCAGGGCTGCCTCACGAGGAATCCCCACGATATATTTGACTTTATCATCAAGCTGATTGGACAGGCCAAGCGCAGAGCCTCCTCATTGTCGCTGGAACAACTCCATCACTCACTAAATCGAAGCATTCTATTTTTGCTCTCACGTCCCACCGACGACTCCATAGCCGAACAGATGAGCGTCCTGGAGGCGCTGCACAAAATCATTCAGCATCGTTTGCTCATCTTTGGCGCCGGCAATCACGAACTGGAGTTCATTGGCTGCCTCACCTATTGCCTGATGCAGCTGACCGCCGACATGAAGATCATTTTGGAGCCGGCCACAAGCCGCAACACGACCTGGCATGTGAATCCACAGACGGAGACAGCAGAGCCCAAAGACGAGGATCTCAATCAGTTGCAGGTAAGTTGGAAGATTAATATCTTTGGACTTTCTATTAAAAAGCCTTTTCCCATAGGGTCGCAATCTAATTGTGGGCGCCGCCTTTCGCGTCTGGGAGGAGCTGTATGTGTGCAAGAAGCCCGCCATTGAGGAAGTCTTTAAGATATCGCTCACCCCACCACCCGCCAGCTCGAAGGCGCCAGATCTGCAGACCACGCGCGAACAGGTCATGGAATTGGCCTCCAAGCTCTGGTTCAATTATGTGGATGCCGAACGCAAAGCGTCCTATCGTGTGCCCTGGGAGCTGCACAATCAAATCCAATCCAAGATACAAAAGGTCACCGGCGGACTGACGCGTCTGGCCAGCCGCAGCAAGGTGAAGAAGGATGAGCTGGTGCGCACCAAGTCGAATATGAGCCGGGAATCGGCCTACGAGTGCACAGGGATTCACGTGCAGCTGATTAAAGATCTGCTGGAGTTGCGCACCAAGCAATATCAGCAAATGCTGCAGCACACACAGCGCTATGTCTACCAGGATTGGGTGCAATCCGAAACGGAGCTAACGCGCGAACGCGGCCTGTGGGGTCCGGCGGGCTCTTGTTCACTGGACAAGTGGGTAATGGACACAACGGAGGGACCCCACCGCATGCGGAAAAAGACAATGCGCAATGAGCTATTCTATTTGCACTATCCATATCGGCCTGAGCTGGAGCTAGCCGATAATCGGCAGCTCAAGTATAAGGTGGCCTCCAGTTTGGATAGCAAAATCTACTTTCTGCATGGCCAGCAACAGCCGCGCATCTTGGCCGAAGCCGAGCAGCATGCCATGCAGCAGCAATCCTCACTAGAGGCAGCACATCCGCATAGGCTGGAGGCAAGCAGCTCAATATCGACGCCACCGCCGCCTATTTCGCCTAAATTGCTAGCACATGGTGCACCATATCCGCAGGAATCGCTGGATGGCAATGCCCCGGAGGATGATGAAGAGGAAGAGGACACCTCAATGACCAGCGACAATGAAACGTTTTTGCGTTTACTCGAAGAACAGGAGAAGATCAGCTTCATGTTTCGCTGTGCACGCGTTCAGGGCCTCGACACCTTCGAGGGTCTGCTGCTGTTCGGCAAGGAGCATTGCTATATTGTGGACGGCTTCACGCTGTTGAAGAACAGAGAGATACGCGACATTGACACACTACCACCGGGTGCCTATGAGCCCATCATACCCAACTCGGGCGGTCAGACGTCGTCGACATCGCGCGCCGTCAGCCACAAGCTGAGGCAGTGCTCCAAGTTCGCCTACGAGGAGATACGCGAGGTGCACAAGCGTCGCTATCTGCTGCAGCCCATTGCATTGGAGGTCTTCTCCGAGGATGGCCGCAACTATTTGCTCAGCTTTCCGCGCAAGGTGCGCAACAAGGTGAACCAACGATTTTTGGCCTTGGCCACCGCTCTCAATGACAATGCCCAGCAATCCGTGGCTGGACAGAAGCGCACGGCCAGCGTGGAGCAAACCTCGGGTCTGTTTAGCGGTTTGATTGGTGAAACGTCGGTTACCCAGCGCTGGGTACGTGGCGAGATCTCAAACTTTCAGTATCTGATGCATTTGAATACGCTCGCCGGACGCAGCTACAACGATCTCATGCAGTATCCAGTATTTCCCTGGATACTGGCCGATTACGATTCGGAGGAGTTGGACTTTACGAATCCCAAAACATTCCGCGACTTCTCGCGTCCCATGGGCGCACAGTCGGATGAGCGCTTGGAGCAGTTCCAGAAGCGCTTCAAGGAATGGGACGATCCGCATGGCGAAACCCCGCCCTATCACTATGGCACACATTACAGCTCGGCCATGATTGTGTGCTCGTATCTGGTGCGATTGGAGCCCTTCGCGCAGCCATTCCTCAAGCTGCAAGGCGGCCACTTCGATTTGGCGGATCGCATGTTCCACAGCATCAAGGAGGCCTGGCTATCGGCCTCCAAGCTGAATATGGCTGATGTTAAGGAGCTAATACCCGAGTTCTTCTATTTGCCCGAATTCCTTAGCAACTTTAACAACTTTGATCTGGGCACCAAGCAAAATGGTGAAACCTTGAACCACGTCATTTTACCACCATGGGCCAAACAGGATCCAAGGGAGTTTATTCGGCTGCATCGTAGTGCTTTGGAATGCGATTATGTTAGCCAAAATTTGCATTTGGTAAGCTTGAACACAGACAATTTGCTAATATTGTTATAAGTCGGAATGAATACTTGTAAAAGCGAATCTCACTGATTATTTTAAATTAGCTTCCGAGAATGCAAAAAAAAAAAAAATATTATTTTAGGAAAACTTAAACCTATTTCTAATTTAAATAACCAAATATACTGTACGCAAGTCCCCGTAGATCAGTTGCCAGAATGCTCAATTATTTAAACAAAACATAACAAAACCCTGAAAATCGCATAGAAAGGCGCATCATATTTGGAAAGGAGTCAGTTGAGGGAACAAAACTTGGGGGCTGGATTGAAAGTAAATAAGAGATAGTAAAACTGATATAGCTTTAGAGTAATTAGTGTATGTGTAAGAACACAAAGAACCAAAGAGAAGGGTTAGAAAAAGATCGAAAAGAAGAATTATAGTGGCATTAAGCATCACTTAAATATAACACTGAAAAATACATTACCAACATCCAAAAATTAATAAAAAAAAAAAAAAATCAAATTCAATCAACACAATCAACTTAAGCTGAGCAGCTTGAAATAATGAAAATAGCAAGAAAGGGCAAACAGAAGTAGTCCAAAAAGAATTAACTTTTAAAAAATGAGCAGTTAAACTTAGCCCGTTAAACATAGCACACAGGCAACATTATTAACAGAAACTTTTTTCTTTGCAAACATTTAAAAATAACCTTTTAGTGGATCGATTTAATCTTTGGATGTAAACAGCAAGGACCGACCGCTGTGGATGCCGTCAATGTGTTCCATCATCTCTTCTATGAGGGCAATGTGGATATTTACAAGTAAGAGTTTAAGAGGCGCAGCATGAAAGAATCTATTAAACGACATTTAATCTTTTAGCATTGATGATCCACTTAAAAAGAATGCCACTATTGGCTTTATCAACAACTTTGGCCAAATACCAAAACAGCTGTTCAGGAAGGCGCATCCAGCCAAGAAAATGGCCAACTCGCGACACTCGGCACTGATCGATCCCACGGCACTAATACAGGGCAACAGCACAGTGCTGCAAACCGATCGTCTGTTCTTCCACAATCTGGACAATCTGAAGCCCAGTCTACAGCCCATCAAGGAGCTCAAAGGACCGGTGGGCCAAATACTGCAACCCGACAAAACGGTATTTGCTGTGGAGCAGAACAAGGTGATGATGCCGCCATCGTATACCAAATACATTGCCTGGGGCTTTGCCGATCATTCGCTGCGCGTGGGCCTCTACGATACGGATCGTGCTTCCTTTGTGTCCGAGGCGGCGGCCCAGAATTCGGGCGAGATACTGACCTGCGCCTGCCCCAATGCCAAAATGATTGTCACAGCCGGCACCAGTTCAGTGGTGACCATTTGGAAGTTCGATGCAAATCGGAAGAGTCTCAGCGTGAAGCAACAATTGCACGGCCACACGGATGCGGTGACATGTCTGGCGGCCAGTGCTGCCTACAATGTCATTGTCTCCGGCTCGCGCGATGGCACCGCAATCGTCTGGGACATGTCTCGATTTATATTCGTGCGTCAATTGCGCGGACACGCGGGCGTTGTGTCCGCTGTGGCCGTTAACGAGCTAACTGGCGAAATTGCCACCTGCTCGGCCACCTGGCTGCACGTGTGGTCGATCAATGGCGATGCCCTGGCTATGGTCAACACGTGTGTGGGCAGCGCCGATCGCATGCAGCAAATACTTTGTGTTGCCTTCTCACAAATTCGCGAATGGGACCAACAAAATGTGGTCATGACGGGCTCCACAGATGGTGTTGTCCGGGTGAGTGACACGAGTCGATATATACTTTATGCAACTTAAACAATGTTATTTTTCTAGATGTGGTCACTGGAGCACATTCAAGTGCCCATTGATCGCAAGCTCAAGCGCGGCGTGGAAGTTAACTCGCAGGACAAACCCGACGCTGGCTCCGTAGATGACTCCAACAACAAGTCGACCAAAATGAACATTTTCAAGCAGATGAAGAGCCTCTCTCAGCCGGAACCGGAGAATGGTTAGTTTATCACAACTATGAACTCCATTGAAATATCAACTATAACTTAAACACACTTTACAGAGATTGTGAAATCCGCCTCGGAGAGCAGCATTTCAGAGGCCTCACAGCACAGCAATGAGTCCAGCAAATCTGCGGAAGCAGCAACTATTAAAGTGGAACCCTCGACTGAGCGTAGAAAGAGCTCCATAAGTGGGGCGAAATCGTTGCATGAAATGAAATCGGCCACGGTGGAGGGCCCCAGCAGCAGCTCCGAGCACAAAACGAACGAGGGTGAGGGCAAAAGTGTGACTGGTTATGTGATATATTTATATAAATATCAGACTATTATATATGTATGTATATATTGATGAGTGTTACAAGCTTAGTCGATATAGCTGTGTCTGAATATAGTTTTATCGTGAAATGTGCATAGATGGAGACATTTCCGACTGCATAAAGTAGATCTATATATATATATATATATGTATATTTATTCGTGAGGAGTATCAACAGGTGTGTCGATATATCTATGTATTTCTGTCCGTCTGTCTGTTTCCATGCAGACTAGTCTCAATTTTAAAGCTGTCATTATGAACTAAATGGATCGAATCATCATATCACATAGCTGCCACCGGAACAATCGGTCTATCTTGTATAAAAAACTTTCTCTTCGTTTTCAAGTCCTACAATGCCTTACGCGAATAAACCCAATCTAATAAATATCAGGCTATTATATCATACCGCTCTACGAATAGTTCAAATTAGTTTGTATATAGAAAGTGTTTTTGTATTTTCTGATATCTTCACCAAACTTTGCAATTACGATTTCTCTCTACATCTATTCAAGGGTATTTATTTATTCGGCATGCCGAATAGAGTCTTTTTGTTCATAGTTTCTAATGTTGAATTTATATCGTTTACAGAGGAGCACACCATTCGTCCTAGCAAATCCGATACCAGTTTAACGGACGGCTTCGTTCTGCTGGACAATGACAGATATCGTGGCGAGCAGGCGCTTCGAAAAGGTGCTTAAACTCGATTTCTTAACCTCTCTCAACATTGGCAAACATTTTTATCCATCATATCCAAACGCTTGGCATTAACACAAATTTTACCTATAACCCCCAGGCTTTAAATGGCAGCGTCAATTAATGTTCAGATCAAAGCTAACCATGCATACGGCCTATGATCGCAAAGATAATGCCGAACCGGCTAGCATAACAGCCCTGACGGTGTCCAAAGATCATAAAATACTATATGTGGGTGAGTGTGCCAGCGAAAAATTGAACTGACGATATCAAAATATAAATGTTCATCATTTAAACTTGTTTATTACAGGTGATACACGTGGTCGCATTTTCTCATGGAGCGTTACGGAGCAGCCGGGTCGTGGCGTAGCCGATCATTGGCTAAAGGATGAAGTTGCCGATCAGTGTGTCAAATGTCATGTGAAGTAAGTTGAGGGTTCAGTTCGTTAATAGCCAATACCCATTGACAAAGTGTAAAAAGAGAGTATATTGATGTTTAGCATTCTATGTAGAAGGCACAAGGGAGGTAATCTACGATCTCACAGAGTTGTTTATGGCCAGCATGAGTAATCGAATCGATCGGGTATTGTCGGTTCAGAGACTTTTAGATATATTGTGATCATATTTGGATTACCAAACGCAGATCATGTTTTAGTCAAAATGAATCAAAACTCCGCCCGAAATTGATAAATATCAATATGTTGGCTATGGTTTTTTCTGTATTCTAATCAAATTTAAGAGCTAGAGACCCAGCATTTTGTATTTAGATACAATACGGGTCATGGCATCTCCTAGATGAGAACTCTCAATTTGAGCTTTTTACATTTTTTGATATATCTCATTTCTATTCAGATTTACACTGTATGAACGGAAGCATCATTGCCGCAACTGTGGCCAGGTCTTTTGCAACAAGTGCAGTCGCTTCGAGTCGGAAATATCGCGTTTGCGCATTCTGAAGCCCGTAAGGGTATGCCAGGCCTGCTATAGTCAGCTGCGCACGAATTCCCTGGACAATTAATAACGAATTGTAATAACCGGAGTTTACTTTATACCTTACACAATACCGTAACTGTTAAAAGACGTTAGGGGCATTCATTTAAATACTACTACTTATTTATTTATATTGTATAATTTTATATTAATTTTTAATATCTTTAACCAAAAAAAAAAAATACTATGTGTTGCGCTAAAAACAACCAAAGGCTGTTATTATATGATTTTAAATATTTTTTAATTATACAAAAAAAAGTGTTGCAATATTATTTGATACCTAATTTATACTATTTATTATACACCGAATAAAACAATATAAATATTGCTTATACGCCACAATCATTGACAATTTGTAGTAAAGTAATTAAATTGTGTAATTATATAAATTATAAACATTTGTGTGAGTGTAGTAGCATCTGAATTTTTGTGCATGTATTAAAGCTGCTTAGCGATGCGACAAGCGCACAATAAATATTGTTATTTAAAGAAACATTAATTAAATAATTGTATAGGGAATGTACGTAGTATCAAAACACACACACACAGAACCCAAATCAATAATTAGCTTACCAAATAATGCAAACAAGCACCGCCAGTTATATCAATTACAAAAGTGAACTTTAAACAATTTTCTAGTGAATATATAACCAACCAAATTTGGAGACAGCATTTTACTGGGCAAACAGAACACCTAATTAGCACACACAACACTCGAACCTCACACTAAATATTTGTACACATATACAACAAAATAAATGAAATAAATAATGAAAAAGTAACTACTTAAGCCGAGTATTAAATAAAAGACACTTTCGAACGAATAAAAACAATTAACTAAAAAGCAATGATAAATGTTGATGTATTAAATGGGTCCGTAATTTAAAGCAATATTGAAAATTGCAAATTAACTAAATGGAATCTTAAAAGAAATACGCTAAAGTTATATAAAAATGTAGTAAATATTAATTTATGCTATCAAAAGTTTTTCATTTCAATTATTATTGATTTATCTTAACATTTTCAACTTTCTGAACTATCCCATTCTTGAATTTTCTAAGTAGAAAACTTTGTCTTTCTTTTCTTTTTGATTTAAATAACTCATGACATTAAACTCTTAACTAAAATCTTTGTATATATAAAAGACAAATAACGAAGCAAACAATAAATAATATTTAGATGAAATAAACATTAGATAAATAAAATGGTCGTAGTGGTAATTAAAAAGATATTCGGTATTTTGTAGAGCATCTACATGTTGCATTGATAATAATTTACAAATATTATATACATGTGACAGCTATATACACAAATTATTCAATTAAAACAATATAAACTCCCATCTCTTGCATGGGAGACCGAAAACAATTAAGTACATTTTCAAAAGACTTGAAGCACGGAATAGAAGGAAAAATCAGCACATTCTACAACTAAAGACACACATTTCAAGAACTATCCAAAGACTAAGACCGAAATTCTTACATTTCAAAGAAAGAGCACGAAGAACAATTATACGAATGGAGGAACCCTAGCCAATTAAGTCCAACAGAAAATAACACCATAGCAAAAAGAAAACACAAGAATAAAACGAACCCAAATAACTATTATAAACCATATAAAAAAAAAATTATATATATATTAATTGTTAGTTCGTGTCATAAGAACATATGCGAAAAAGCAAAATACGATTTAATAAAATGAATAATGTTAAAAACCCACTTGTTTTATTTCAGGTTTAAGTTAAAAAAATTATAAGAAATTTATTACCTATTTAAAAAAGATGAATCCCCTTTATAGTAAGTAGTTGCAGCTGGTTTTATAAGAAAAGCTTCACAATACTCTCACTCTCTCATCTTTATTCTTCTTCTTTCCAGGCGATAAGCTCAAATTGCGCCATTTTTCGCAGAAAAAGCTCAACGCAAAGAATTTGAGCCCACACATTAAATATTTTGATATACATAAGTACATATGAGTATAAACCGATGTATTGATACATTTAATATATGAAACAACAACATAACTGCTAATTATACCAGCTTATTAAAAAAAAACGATTTTACACACACACAAGACTCGGCCGTTTTATTAAGCAGACGCGCACAGACTAGATTATCTCATTAAGCTGGCGCGTAAGCTAAGCCGGCAATAACCAGAGAGCGAATTGGATTACAAAAATGCTCTCTCATTGCATAGGCGCTCTCGCATTCAAAACAGGATCAAAAGCACAAAGTCAATTGCGTGCACGATAGACAGAGACAGATATTATTCTATACCAGCTGCTGCTCTCTCGCTTCCACTCAGAAAATGCGCGCCATTTTCGTTTTTGTTCTATTCTGCAAAAACAGCAGTAATAATTGCACGCCTCTTTTACTCATTGCTTATTGTAGAACATGGAGGGTGGATGCGGAAAGAATAAGAGGCCCAAATTGCAAATTTGCATTAAACGCTAGCTTAATAAAAAAATTGAACAATTCACACGCACGCGCAAAAGATTTGACTGTTCAACAGAGAAGACGCGCACAGACTAAATTGCCTCATACTCCTAAGCAGGCAACTAGGCTAGGCTGGCATACGCAGTTAAGGCAATTAAACTATTATACAACTCTTGCGCTCTCTATCCACAATGCTTAACGCTCTCGCACAATAACGGAATCACCCACACTTTTACATTCAGACAGACCAATGCAGCCTACATGCACGCAGATCTCTTAAATTCCCTTCTATTCCCCAAAAATATAACAGTCTTAGCAGTAGCTTTGTTGTTGTATCTTTCTCCAAGAAGAGGACCATCTATTTATTTGTGTGGTGTCATGCCTTCAATGCATCACATTGTATACAAAATAAAACCATCCGGTGGGAGAGAGGTGTTAGTAATTAGTTCGCGATTCTGGAATCATACGATTGAAATCACGCGCCGATTTGCCGGATATGGAAGCGTCAAGCTCTTTAATGCTCACGTCCATTGTTTACATGCCAAGACGGCTGCCCGGCGTTCCTATCACGCATGCAATAGCCACCGGGACAGCAATTGCCACCAGGGCAACATGACGGCTGGCCCGGTCCATCCATGCGGGGACAGTTACCATTCGGGCAGTTGAAGCACGATCCATTTCCAAAACCAAATTGGCTGGGAATTTTAAAAGCCTTATTTCCATCCATAGTTGCTAAGTGGATTCGGCGACGTAGATAATGGTAAATGCGAAAATCTGACATATGTTTATATATTAGCTCACCTGTTTAGATTTTGTCTCACAAGCCGGCAAATCGGGGCGCTATTTTTCAGTAAGACAAAATAACAAAACAAAAAAAAAAATTTTGTGTTTGTAGACAACACTTCTGATTTGTTTAAGGTGTTCGAAAGGAATGAGCTATACAGCTATAAAATGCTGTAGGGTTAGCCGAGAAAAGATGACAGCAATTCGTACGCTTGCTGTGTTTCGAATTATTTTCGAACAATTTTCGAAGTGAGGGCAGAGCGCATGCGCTATAACTGACAAAGTGGTGAGTTTTTCTGCTAAAGAGGCGTGGCCAAGTGGCACACGCACACAATGAAAAGCGAGCAGGTTCGCTGGCAAAGTGGAGCGAGCGGAAGTCTGGGAGTTTTGGGGCATAGAAAAAATGCGACTTCTTGATGCCGCAAATTTGGCATGTGTATGTGTGTGTGTGTGTGTATGCGTGCATGTTGATGGGGCACAACCTGAACTGATGCCAGGAGGAAGGAGGTGGGGCAGCTGGTAGCTGGGTACGAGTTAGGTAGTTAACGCCAACGTTGGCAAATGACTTTGCATTCTGACTGGTTAATATAACCACAGGATTGTATCGAAACGACGGCTCTACTCTCATATGTGTGCGTGTGTGTGAGTGCACAGTTTCGGTTAGTGTATGGAGAGGTGGATGCGACTATATAACCACAGGCAACTAAATGGGCTGTGTAATAGCCGCCGCGTGGCTAAGGTCCAGTCGCTTATGCTGAACTCCGATTTACAAGACTCCACCCACAAAACGTAATCATATATAAGACGTTGTCCGCTAAGCCGCCTCCTGCCTACTCATAATACTCTCTATATATGTGACAAGTTATATATATATGTGTGCGTGTGCGTGTGTATGTGTGTGTGTGTGTGCAACCAATACACAATGTCACAAAAGTCATTTCAATTTAGATGCGAGTCAGTAAATCAACCCCTATCAACATACCAACAACAACCAGCCAGTGCCAGCCCAGAAAACGCCATTGCGAATTTCTCGACGCATACACGTACATAATAATCTCACGCACACACACACATACACACGCATAGTAACACACATAGAAGTAAATGCATACATATATCATGCATATGGCATTTCCTATCCCCAATAGCATACGCTACCTAGACTTTTGTGAGGCTATACAACTTTTCTAAGTGGAGCATTATTTGACAGACTCCGAAATTTGAATTTTTCATTTAAAATTGTTATTTAACAAAATTATTTATAAACTGTTGTTGTATTTTAAAGACATAATGCATATCAAACAACAACAATATACATTTAAATATATAAAAACATAATTATATAAAATAATATAATTATTCTGTTATTAATATCTTTACATTTTAGATGAGTACGTGATTACGGACATAAAATTTAAAAAGGATAAAAATATAGACTATTGTCTAATGGAAATAATGACAAACATACATATTAAATATTTTAGGTCGCAAATATGAAATTTTGGAAAATTGGTTTAAATTGGCATATCAATTTAAAGGAGACACTTTTATTCGGCGAATGGACTTACATTTTCATTGTACTGTAAAATCACTTTTTTTATTACTATCATAATTATTATATTTATTATTTTTATCATTGACATTATTATCATTATTATTATTATTCTTATAATTTTTATTTTCATTATTCTTATTTTTATTATTTTGATTATTAATTTGATCATCATTAGTATTATCATTATTATTATTATTATTATTATTATTATCATTAGTATTATCATTAGTATTATCATTATTATTAATATTATAAATTGTCATTCATTTATTTTTAAATTATGTTTTTGAGTATAGAACATAAATTATTACGGTCAATAAGTCTTAGTCAACCCTGCATGCCTCAAATTGTAGCGCCCTTACTGCTGAGATCCTGACTTTAGAACTAATAATCCGACAGCCTACAAGCGCAGGACGAACCAAACAAAAAAAAAAAGAAGAAAAACGAAAAAAAAGAAGAAGCCAGCGAGGCATCAGCCCGAAGAGCAGAAGCAGCAGCAGCAGCAGCAGCAGTCACGACGCCTCTGCTGGCAAAGATATTTACTGAGGCACAGATACACAGGCAGCGAGTAGGAAAGAGCAGCACATACAGAGAGCGGGACAGCAGATGTTATTACCAATACACACGCAGAAGCGACGACGTCAACGCAAGCGACGACGACGACGACGAGGTCGTCGACGGCCTCGTTCCGTAGCTAGCTTTTCATCATTCTTGACATTTTGTGGTGAATTGTCGAAAGCCACAAGATATGTCGCAGTGTGCGTGGCCGGGACGCACATTAGTGTGTGTGTGTATGTGTGTGTTTGTGTGTGTGTGTGCGCACAGAAAAAAAAGAAGGAAAATGGTGGACGGCAGGAAGTCTCCTCATTTGCTGTAATCGCATCAAGCGGCAGGCACAGAAAAAAGGGCGTTTTCCGGTTGGCTGCCCGCCTGTCCTGTCCTGCCCTGTCCTGTCCTGTCCTGCACCGTTTCTGTGCCCACTCGCAGGGGATGAAATGTAACATTTTGTAGCTTTTCGTAAATTTTCGACTTTTTCGTCGACGTTTTGGTTTTTCGCTGCCATCGTTCGCATCGCCTCGCATCGCATCGCGTCGCGCTGCGCTTTACCATTTTCATTTTCCTCATTCGGTTACGGGGGTTTTTTTTTTGCGCCCGATATTTTTCATATATCCCGCGACGACCCGTGCTGTGCCCTGCCGCACGGCTGTGGCTTTGTGTAGCATCCCGAAACGAGGGTGTGTGGGCGGCCGAGGCGGGTGGCTGCTGCTGCCTTTGGCTTTGCGTCCTGCGTCCTCTGTCAAATTGACTGCAAAAAAGGACCTCTCCTTTGGCAGCTTCACTTTCGTAATTGGCGGTCTCTGCTCTGCTCTGCTCTGCTCAGTTCTGGCTACGGCTCTGGCTCTGGCACCGGTTCAGCTTCTGCTTCTGTTTCTGTTTCTGCTCCGTTTCGCTGCTGGCTGCGGCATTCACAGTTGGTCCGTCAGCCAAAACGATCCGCATCCGCTCCGCAGCAGCGTTGTCGTCGTTGTCGTCGTCGTCGTCCTTTGCGTCGGCAAACGTAACCCAACATTTTTGGCGTGCGGTGGTCAAAAGTTGTTTTCGTGTTTCTCAAAGTGCTAATTGTTAACCTGCCTAATTCCGAACTGAAAATTGACACAAACGCAGTCAATTAATTCGAGTGTTATACCCAGTTATTATAAACTTAAGCACGCTGGATACATTAGGGTTCAAATATTTCCATCAACGGAAAATGGGCACAGGTAAACAATGGGAAAAGTCATTATTTCATCAATCCGTCGGGAATTTCTTATAATCTATCAAAGCCGTCGCTGTTTTGAAAGAGCCCAAGCAGATTATTGTATAGCATGCTTATTACATAATCACATTGCCGTCGGGAAAATTAAGGGTTTTACAAGTTCAAAGTTTTTTAAATGAAGTCCGGAGCAGTGTATTAAATCATTCAGTAATATTTCCAAAAAAAAAATAAATTAAACACAATTTCTTGAAAATTATTAACATAGTTTAAAAAAGTTTAATAAATTAAACTTTTTATATTATTGAACAAAAGCCGTCAAAAATATAAAAAATAAGGTTTTTAAAGCGTGAGAGAGATTAGAAAAAATCAATTTTTATAAAATTATATATTTTATAAATTTAATCATGAGTATTAAGTGAAGAAGTTTTAAATAAATAAGTCATTATTCTAAAAACAAATAAGACTAAAGGCAAAGTATTGCACAAAAAAAACCTGCTAAGGCAATTATACAATTGGTTTTCTTGTCTAAGACCCGGCATTTTAATCTATGCGAAATCAATTATCGCAATCAAATATATAATTTTATATAAAAAAAGGCCAACTAGAACAGTTATATTAAATGATCAAAATACTAGGGAAATAAATTATTGAACTGTATTGAATACCAATTGATAAGCCAGCTTGAAGCTTGTGCCAAATTTGTAACGTATCTATATTAATTTTAATAAAACTATATAAATAAAATAAATAAATAATATAAAATACATGATGTGTAATATGTTTAGTTTATCATTGATACAAATTAATTATTTATTGTTGTTTTTGGCAACCTTTCCATAATTCAAATTTTCAAGGTCAGAAATAAAAAAAAATCATTTTGTTTTAATAAATATATTAATTTATATTATTATATTTAAATACAAATAAAACCATTATTTATATTTTTATTAAAATATTAATATATAAATAAAACTTCTTTGTCTTAATATATATAATATATTAAAATATTTTTATTTATAATTATTAAAACAAATTTGTTTTATTTATATTTGAATAAATGGAATTTCGGATCTCGAACCAGCTAATAAAATATTTAAATAAAGGAAAGATTATAAAAGTAGACATTAAACAATTAATTTATATCAACAAAAAAATAAGTCATATTAAACCTTATATATTTTATGTTCATTATTTTGTTTATAATTATTATTCTTTTATTATAAAAAATACAATTATAATTAAAATTAATAATTTTTATTTTTAATTTAATAATTACACATTTAATAATTTTAAAATTATAGCTTAGGTTTATATCAATGTAATAATTATTAGTTTTATTACGTTTATTATAAATACGCGGCAGGCTGCAGAGGTCTTCTTTTTTAAGGAACTAAACAGAATATTTCCATTCATATAAAACATAATATTTTTATAAAGCTTTCAAATAATTTTTTTTATCTAAGTGCATTTATATAAAAGCTGTACATTACTGTGATATCAAACTGCACAGTTAACACCCTTTCCATTGCCAGAATTTTGATATGCCTAATTCGCAATTCCCACGCCCAAACAGTTCAAATCCCACGTCTGCCCACATCGCAACTGCGGCAACCTTTTTAGCCTATCAAAACAATGCCGTGATTTCCATACCAGTCAAAAAGCATATTGTATCAGTTAAAACTAAGATATAACCCGCTCACAGAAGGACACACACAAGGCACACACTACTCAAAAGTTGACGCAACAAAAAAAAAAAACAGCAGAACGAAATGCCATGGCATAAATAAACAAAAATATTTAAAATCAACAATAAAAATGTTTAAAAAAGAAAACATAGCGCAAAGGATCACGCTCATTTGATATAGATTTTAATACAACCCTTAGGGGCCAGGCTGAGGGCCAGGGGCCGGGGGCAGGGCCAGTGACTGGGAGACGGGCACGCACAGCCACTCGAGAGGTGTTAACACGCTGCGGACAATTGCCGATGCGCAGGGTGTGAAAATTGGCAACACGCGTCGCAACCGAAATGCGGCTGGAGGCAACCACCCAGACCAGACTCGACCAGACCAGAGCCCAACCAAAACCCAACCAACAGTTGACAATATGTCAAATGTCACAGAACAAAGGGCCCAACAAAGGGAAACAATCGAAAACGGGCGCGTTTTATTTTGACAAGTGCCGAGTGTTCAACTTAATTTGTGAAGTGTGCCGGACCAAAAGGGCTGTAGCCATATAACTGGCATTATGTGCTAGCTTTGTGCAATTTTCACTTGCTAATCCGCGACACACACACACACACACACACACACACACACACTCGCACACACAGTTGGCAAATATACGGCAACTGTGCCGCAAAGTGTGCAACAACTTTTGTGCGTGCTGCACTGTGTTTGCCTAACGGAAGCTTTGAGGCCTAGGCTTAGCTCTTAAATTTAAGTTAAATACGCGTAAATGTTGCCAATATCCACTTAAATGCACCTTCACTTTACTTTCATCAATATAAAGTTGATTTTAGTGCTTATACAAACGCCAATCTTCGCAAAATTGTCAGAGCTGCAATATGGCATTCTAATGTGTGCAAGAATTTACTTAAATAAATGAGATTTTTTTCAAATTTGGGATGAAATGGGGGCAAATGTTTATAAAGTGAAATGTTCGTATATACATTAAGTGAACATACAAAAGAATCTTGCTTGGCAACTGTTTAAGTTTTTCTAAATAATAAAGCTGACTTCTATACCATATACATCTATATAACAAATATCGAGGTCTGCTCCTTAATATTTTAATATATTTTTCAATTTATTATTTTTATTTTTTTTTTATTATTATTGTTTTTTGTTTTTAACTTATTTTTATATTATTTTGTTTTTACTATATTTCTATTTTATTTTTATTTTACTAAGCTTTTCAAATATTGTATTCCTTATTTATTTAATTATTTTTTACGTATTCTTGTTAATACATATTCATTTTATTTTCATTATTTCATTCCAGATTCCCTTTAAAGTTATAGGAAATTGACCAAAAATAAATAAACAAACAAATTAAAGGCTATTCAAGAAAAACTCTCGAATAATTCCAAAAGCACCAAAATTGAACTTTATAATTCTTCTTTCATGCTGCATTTATTTATTAGTTGTGAATAATTCAATAAATTTTATACATTCACAGCTGGCGATCGTCTGCTGGACATACCCTGTAAGGTATGCGGCGATCGCAGTTCGGGCAAACATTATGGAATCTACAGCTGCGATGGTAAGTCGCATCCATCCAAACTATGATATTATAACTGATGTTTATATATACATATATAGGCTGTTCGGGCTTCTTCAAGCGTAGCATTCATCGCAATCGGATTTACACCTGCAAGGCCACAGGTGATCTCAAGGGTCGCTGTCCTGTGGACAAAACCCATCGGAATCAATGCCGAGCCTGCCGCCTAGCCAAATGCTTTCAATCGGCCATGAATAAGGACGGTAAGTAGAATGGTGGGAGGGGGGGGGGGGTAGGCTATTTTCTGGCCGCAAGTCTTTGTTTTACTTGGAAAATTCATTTAATTATGCAGCAAATTAGCTGGGCCCGCTTTGCCAACAACGACGGCAACCAGACCAGGCATAAATTACATTAAACTCAAAAACCAAAATGCCGCAGGCTTTTGGGTGCCACTCACTTTTGGCAAGAGTCTGGAGGACTCTCGACTTACTCTGGCTGCGGCCTCATCGAGTGTGTGTTCCTTCTCTTTTTTGTTGTAGTTGTCATTAAGCTGATTATAAATTATGCGAACTTGCGCACTGCCTCCCCTTGTAGCAGAAGAAGCCATACAATTGAAATTGCGACACTTGATTTTTGTACGACAGTTTTTGTGTACCGCATAAATTATGTAGGCGTGACTTTGATTTCCTAGAAGGTCGAAAGGAAGTGGCTATATTGAATTGATTTGAATCAGAGAAACAGGGCTGGCTGGCTGACAGAAGCTACTTTTATTTGAAAATGTATTTGCAATAGCTACTTGGCCTTCATAAACTTAAAAGAGTTAGTTTTAATTGTAGTCTAAATTAGAGATCAAGGCACAGCTCATCAAGAGCTAAGAGCTAGCAAGTACACATTTTTACTAAACCTCTCTTTGGCTTAGGTATTTGAGCGTCGAACTAATAAGCGAGAGGTCGCTGGCTCAACTTAAGCTGCCATTTTCAATTTTATATATTTTTATTCGTTTTTTTATGAAAAAGGTGTCAAACTAACAAATGAGAGATCGCTGGCTCAAATAAAGCTGTCATTTTGAATTTTATATCTGTTCAATCAATTTGTTATTACTCAGAAAGATGACAGTTATGGTAATGGAAAATAAATGTTAGGAACAAAATATGAAACATTAATTGTTAGTAGGTTATGAGTCGGCATACGAAGTGTATGAATCCAATTCACGTGAACACATAATGTATATTTTTAAATTTTAATTAGAAATACTATAAAAATTATATATTATCTATGACTATATATTCATAAAGAATATATTCAGCGTTAATTCATACAACTTATCTGGGTCTAAGCTCAGCAGCCCAACCGGTATTTGTGGGGCAACGCAGAGATTAGTTTTCTCCAAAACTGGGAACCATCCCGACTCAGATACGTATTTAATTTCATGTAGGCGATAAGCTCGGCCTTCTGGTCGTTAAAGTCTTCGACTTCTGGATACACAATAATAATCAGGTGCTTGAATTACAATGTTCTACATAAAGGTCATTAAACAAAGTAAACTTTTTTTGTACCTTTGAAATACTTCCATGTATTGTATTTCTATCTTTCTGCTTTTATTGTCTGATAACAGATATGTTCGTAAGCTCGAATTTGTATTGAGTCACTAAATGATTTGCATATTACTCAACGTGTATGTCCAACTTTATTTGGCCAATGCAATTGACCGAGCTTTACATGCGCACCACACCAAACGAAGACCCGCCCAACAACACAAAACAAAACAACCCAATCGAATCGAACTCCCAACTCAACAACTCCATGCAACAATGGTAGCTTTAAAGCTCTTAAGCCAACATTAAATGTAGCATAAAAACACATAACAACGGCAGCGGCTGGCAATGAAAGCAATATACAAACATCTACAGCTATATCTATGGCTATATAGCTATGACTGTATGGCAACAGCTCTATGGCTACAATTTACCATTTAGCATCAACCATTGATGGGTTCACTGCACAGGACAGCAACAGCAACAGTGACAGCGACAGCAACAGCAGCCAGCCAGGGGGGAGAACAGCGTGAGAATTGTTGCAGATTTTCTCACACGCAATTCGCCTTCAGGGGGGAGTCGATTGACAATGTGCACTTAATAGCGGATTACATGCATTATCCCATCGCTTGAAAATGCGACTAAAATGTATTGACAATCAAATGATGATACCAAAACTCAGACGTCAGACGTGCGACATTAGATGTCAAAGCGCAGCTCGGGCGAAACAAGGGGCCCAAAAGATTTCACTGAAACGAACCAGAAGCAAAGTTAGTTTACCAAGCGGTAGACGGTTGGGGCGATGGGGGCGATTGGGGCGGTTCGAGGAGCTGCTTCATGCTTTATAGTTAACGCCCTCGGAACGTGGCCCAACAACAATCACACGCTCGCTAGGTGACAACAATAGCACAACTGGCAAAAGCACAACAGCAAAAAAAAGAAACAGACAACAAGCTCGAAAAGCCAAAGATTAGATACCCTTACACTTTGAACAAAACGAAAAACCGAAGCTCTTAAGTCAAACCATAAGCCAATGTGGGAGTATGGGAACTTTCTCTTTTGCAAATCTTATAAAATCCCACGATAATGTCTTATATTAGATATATCTCAAAAATATCTCATTCAATTTAAATAGTGCCCCACATAATGAGACTCTTGAATCAACTCAATGAAGTTAAAAATAAGAGCGAATATTAAATATTTTGCATGAAAAAAATATTAAATTAATAATAATATAGACAGCAGATTTAAATAAAAAAAAAATAAAACTAGTTTTTCTGCCCCAAATTATGCGATTCTTTAATTCAGATAAATATTTAAACTAGATCGAAATATTATATATTTTGCGGGAATAAATAACAAATATAAATTAAAATAATTATAATATAGACAAAAGCATAAAATAATAATATAGCTGTAATTACGTAATATTATTATAATTTCAATATTCTGAACTATTAAAGAAAGTTAAAAAAAAAATTATAAAATATTATAACAAAAATAAAATAGAAAACAAATATGGAAAGATAAATCTTTTATAAAGCATAAAAATATTTCAAATAATATTCTAAATATTCCAAGCTAAAAACACTGTCAAATTTCTGGAAAAATTCAATTGAACAGCTCTAGCCGCTGCCAAGCAATTCAAACAAATATTGTCGCAAACTGCATGATGAAGCCAACATGCTCAATGTTAGAGCATGCCAGTGGTGTGCCCCGGACATGTGTATGTACTTTTGCTTTGTGCATTTTCTTAGTTTGCCGCTGGAAAGCCTCATGTTAGCTGCCTTTTTGGGGTTTTTCTTGGCTGGTTGCCGTAAATAAACAATAAACATACACCCCCGCACACACACACACACACATACACATACACACTTAGATACCGACACCAACAACTGAGAGAGCTCGCAGTTGAGCAGCGTATCCCTTTGCCCAGTGCCAGGATGTGCCCCAAACAAAGTGCTTTTGTTGTTTAGAGCAAAAAGCAAAAAAGCCACAAAAATCGTTCTAGGCACGTTTGTGTTACATTTTTCGGGCCAACATAAGAATAGTTGTATATTCTCTACTTTTCTTTTTTCTCTTTCGGGGGTGTGGTAGAATTTGAGGTCCTGTGGTTAGCCATTTTTAGTTGGTCTGCATTTTGTTTAGCTACAGTTGGACCATATTATTATTGTATGATTTCTCGATGTTGGCCCATAAAGCTAATTAGTAGAGCTGCCAGTGTTGGCAAGCGGTAAAGTGTAGTGTTACACAACACAACACTAGCGTTTTTATAACCTCAACTTCTGCTTTGGCAAATAAGTTATTATGGGAAAATATGACAAACAGCGCACATTTCATTTTCCTTTTACTTTTGCTAGCCCTGCCCCTTTCCCCTGCCGCCTGCCCACTGCCTTATAAATGTTGGCCGCTTTGTATGCTAATATCTTTGGGCAGCGTACGGAAAACAAGTAGAGGAGAAGCGAAGAGAAAAAAAGGCGACACGGCGAGAGCTTCCCTTAACAAATTATGTTGCCACTTGTCACATTTAATGGTATTTGCATTTGTGTACCAACAAAGTGTCAGCATCATCATCACGCATAGTGCCCCCCCCCCCTGTCCCTCCTCATACTTCTTCCCAACCATTTGCCAGCTCCATTCTATTGCCAGCTCCAGCTTCTCGAGCGCCTTAGATTCTTATAAATTTCTTTACAAATATTTACGCGGCATTTTAAGCGGATTTTTCATTTTGAGTGATTTGTGTCGCTTTTCCAAATCCCATTCGTATAAGAAAAAAAAAAAACGAGCAATAAAATGTCCTTTTCGGTACGTCCACTTTTCTGAGTGTGGAATGGTAGAGGGCGGGGTGCGGAGCAGGGGGCGTGTGCGTGCGCATATTTAGGTCTTTATCTTTGCTGGCTGCGTGATGAGCTGAAAAGTCTGCTCTAATGATGGCATTTGGAAAATATGACAAATAATATACTTTTAAGTTCCAGTTGGGCAGTTCGGAAATTTTTAGTTCACAGCAATGTAACAAATGAATGTAAATTGTACCAAAATAAGACAAGGCCATAAATAAACACATTTTAGCACCTTTGAATATGAATATTATTATTACAATTAATAGTAATTTTAATTAGAGTATTACAATTAGAGTAGGTTGTGTCAAAACAATTGCAGGGCCTAAATTTAAAAATTAAGGAAGCTATTATTATTATTAGTAATATTATTATCATAGCAGTAAATGTTGAGAGTTCATTAGGTTATAAAGCTAATTGTTATTTTATCAAAAAATTTCAGACCACAATTTAAAAAATTAAAGCTATTCGGTATAAATATTAGTGATATTATTATTATTAGTGCTATTGTAACTATTATTATTTTTAGTTTATTATTATTTGTATTATTAGCATTTGTGTCGTTATTATTAGTATTATTATTATTATTATTAGTAGTTTTATTAATAATATTATTATTAGTAGATGTTGAGAGTAGAGTTAAGCTAGATTTTAAAACTAAACGTAAATTGTATTAAAATAATACGAATTTAATAATTAATACATAATTTAAAGTTTAAATCATACTCAGTTATTCTGTTACTTATATTAGTTTATGCCTATTATAATTATTGTTATTAACTTTTAAATAATTATTATTTTTATGTTTTATTTTTATTATTTATTCTATATATTTATATATTTATATTTTGTAACAAACCGAAATACGAGGCAGAGACCGAACCACCGTAT